AAATCATAACGTCCTGTTCTTTGAAATTCTATAATCTCATTACATATCTTCTCAAGATATTCCTTTTTGGCCCTGTCCGTGGCTCTTTTCAATTCATTCCTCAGTCTCCTGTATTTCCTCCTGCCTTCTTCATTATTGACATTCTTCCATTTCCTTCGCTCCTCCATCATCTCCTGTGTAACCCATGGTTTTCTTGCTATCTTCTCAACTTTACCAACCAAATCACTGATAGTATCTAACATGCATTCTTTTATATTGTTCCACTGCACTTCAGCATTACTGCTTTCACTTTCAATTGCACTGAGTTTCTCTTCTAGGGTCTCCTGCATGCTTTGTCTTTGAGCATATAACTTCTCCAAATCCCATCTAGGTCTGCGCTTTTGGAATCTTATAATTTTCTTCCACCTGGTTCGAAACTTGGCAACCAGTAAGTTGTGGTCAGAGTCAATATCTGCCCCAGGCAGCGTCTTCACATCCTTCAGATATACATCACTTTTAAAATCCTCTGGCTATCATTTATGCACACATCTATTGCTGTGGTCATGCTCCACTGACATACTGATTTTACACTGGGCTTCTTTATTGTTCCTGTGCTGTCAGATCATAGTCCTCTTAACAAGAGCCATTCATTTATTTCAAATGATCATTAAAATGTGCATGTAATTATGAAGTAATCCCTCCACATATGACCACAAGGTCAGTATTCATTACATGAATCGCAGATCTGGCATTCAGTGTTAAATGGCCTGCAAATGCATCCAGCACAAGCACTTCTTGTTTTGATCAACAGTGCTCTTGGTTTCCTGTTCCTCACAACTTGTAACCAGCCCCCAACAGTTCATTTAGTTATGTATTCCTTAACACATTGCGGACCAGTTGTTTAAATATTTAAATCACCCTGGGGACCGGGGTTTTTTAAGCCTAGCACCCTAACTTGTGCACTGTTCACTTTAAAAATTAATATAAAATCTCCTAATTAAGTTTATGAACTAAAATTTTTGGAGAACACTTACCAGAGCTCCTAGAAGTGCTTGTGAGTGTGATATCTCTGGAAACATTCCCCTTTGTGAAGAGAGCTGTCACTTTCACTGGACACAATATTTTGGGGGGCCCTGTGGTCCCTGTCACAGTCACTTTCACTGAGGCTGGCCTCGCTATCAGAAGACGAAGCAGTTGGCAAATCTGATAGCTCATCGGAGAACAAATCTAATATTTCTTGTTCTCCGAGAGAATGCTTCGCCTGCAACTGCTTTCGTCTCTGATCCATGTTGCACTGCTAACTTCCTGGTTCATACGTGGAAGCTTGGATTCAAACAAAGGCTTTTTTCTTTAGGGTGTGACAGGAAATGAGTGTGATCATGTTACTGGCTAAGCTAGCAAACATTCCTGAAGTCAGCTACACAGTAGTTATGATGCAACATGGCCACACAGCGAGATATAGTCGGTTGCAACATAACGCGTCAGAAAATGACCAATTGGCCCGCCCGGTCCGCGACGCTATAGAAACGTAGAGGGCCAATTGGCCCCTCCGCTCCTGAATGTGTTAAACAAGACTGTTATGAATCCCACAGGCAACCACGCCAATAGTAGGTTGGAAAAGGGCTTAGTGGGTGCTGTGGTGATTTGTAGTGTGGAGATTAGCAATGGCGCTGTAATTATTTGTAGTGCTGAGTGGTGTATAGAAGTGGTCAATAAATCCAATATCCAGTACATACCCTATCTATAGTCACACCCCCTAAAACTTGACAATATTTTGGGATTAGCTGTTATTAATTATCTACACCAAATCTCCTCTCCATTATTGCAGACAATAAGGAGTTGACTATATCCAACAAGTATTATTGTATTATTGTTGTTGTTGTGGTCGTCGTCATTGTCCCACCAACCTTTTGTCTTCATCTGAATTTGTCACTTTAGCTTCTGTTTTTGATTTGGCGTTATTAAAGCCTGAGGCCATCTAAATCTATTGGAGTTGATGACATCCCTGGATTCATTAATGGTTGTATTGATATATTTATACCTATAGAAAAGTAAAAGTAATGGTATCCTGTAATAGGCTGTGGAGGTCTATAGGGTTGTGAGATGTTGAGGTTCCCACATTTTATACACAATCAGCTCACAGATGGCAGTAAGGTTGTCAGCCTTACGTGCTGGCTGCCCTTTACCCCAAGAATTAGGAAATAACCTGCAAAGGGAACTGGGAATAGAACTAAAGTGCAGGACAAGGAAAGAGGCTAATCCACAGCGTATAACTGAAATGTTTAATTTATATTTCGCGGACATAGTAGGAAAGCTTGTCAAGCAAAATAATAGTACGATGTGCTGTAAAACACCACAGGGAATAAATACCTGTAATGAAACCATGTTTATTTGTCCAGTGACAGAAAACGAGATATTAGAAGTGGTGAAGAAATTTAGGCGGAAATTTTCAGCTGGTACCGATGAAATACTGGATTATGTGGTAAAAAAATGTATAGAAGCAGTTAAAATGCCATTAGCCCACATTTATAGTGCCTCTCTAGAAGCAGGTATTTTCCCAGAGAGATTTAAGATAGCAAAGGTAAAACCACTCCATAAAAAGGGAGACAAGAAGGATATGAAAAATTGTAGACCACTATCCCTTTTGTGTGCTTTCTCGAAAATCTTGGAAAAGTTGATGCATAATAGGTTACTCTCCTTATTGACAAGAAATACCATATCAACAGAGGCCAAACATGGATTTAGGATGAATAGGTCGACTGAGACTGTAATTTACTCTTTTCTAGCAAACATACAGGAATCAGCCGAGAAAAAAGAAAAACGGGTCGGAATTTTTTGTGGCATATGATGCCATAAATCATGATACCTTACTATCTAAATTACAAACATATGGAGTTAGAGGTGTGGCAAGCATATGGTTTAAATCATATTTGGCTTACCGGAAGCAAGTTGTTGAAATAAGTTGTGATGGCAAAAAATATACATCAGCTCCAAGAGAAATTAAATATGGAGTACCACAGGGTTCAGTGCTTGGACCATTATTATTTTTATTATACATAAATGATCTGCCTTTGAATATCAAAGAGGCGAGGATAGTTTTGTTTGCAGATGATATAAATATTTTGGTAACAGCTGATAAGGGACATATCCTGCAGCAAAAGATAAATAAAGTCATGAATGAGTTATATGGATGGTTCAATGCAAATAATCTTATATTGAATACTGAGAAAACAGTAGCAATGGCATTTCATAATAGACAAGAAAGAGATTTGATGAAACCTCAAATCAAATTTGGCAAAATGGAGATCTCCTATAAATGTGAAACGAAATTTCTAGGTATACATGTTGGCGAGCATATGGAGTGGAAAGCACATATGATGTTCTTAAGCTCAAAACTTCATAAAGTCTGTTACATGATAAAATCTCTTAGGGGTGTAACAAGCCGACAGGTTATAAGAAGTATTTACTTTGCTCATTTCCTTGCTTATTTGAAGTATGGTTTAATTTTCTGGGGTAGCGACCCAAAAAGTAAAATTATATTTAAATTGCAGAAACGAATTCTTAGAATAATTAGTGGTGTGAGTAGATTAGCATCATGTAGACAACTTTTTAAGGATTTAAACTTACTTCCACTACCTTGTATGTATATATTTGGAATAGTATGCCATGTTAAAATACATTTAGAAAAGTTAGAATAAAATAACATAGTTCATAATCACAATACACTCCAGAAGTAAAATGTCCATGCTCAGTTTTGCAGAACAAATGCCTATAAGAAAGGAGTATTGAACATGGGAATAAAATTATACAATAAAATACCAAATAAAATTAGGGAGATAGAAAAAATGAGACAGTTTAAAAAAGTAATGAGGTCATATTTGGTACAACATACATTTTATTCTGTAGAGGAATATATGTTAAATTAAAGAAGGTATGTTTGTGAAAGGGGGGTATTTATTTTTAATTATAGAAATTGAAGTATTGTATGTTTAATGTGTATGGAACGTTTTCCTATGACAGTGATTTGACGAGGAAGGAAGAATGGATTGGTTGATTGATTGATTGATTGATTGATGTGAAATGGATTGAATTGGTTACCCTGTTTGGGAATTTATGTTGTCTTCAATTTTTAATATAGTTTTGTATGGTATGTTGGACATGTACACAATTTGTGTATGTAGTTAAACATTATAGTATTGTTGACTTTTATACAAATACGTGGGTAGGCTGAAAAGAAATGCACACATGCTTGTAGAGGGCGAACAAAAACAAATAGCAAGATCGGGCAAAAAATACAGAAATGCCAGAAGAAACGATTGCAATTATGCAGGACAGGTTACTGCAGTCTCCCAAGAAATCATTACAATGTCTAAGCCAGGAAACTGGGTATTCTTATTCAACGTGTCAACGGGCTGCAAAGAAAGCGAATCTTCATCCCTACAAGATCACCTGTGTTCAGGAAGTGGGTGATGTTGATAAAGATAAATGGGTACAGTACTGTTTATGGTTTTGGGAATTCGTGGACGATAACCCCAGAATTTTGGATATCACTTGGTTTAGTGATGAAGCATGGTTCCACCTATCAGGATATGTAAACGCACAAAATTCCAGGATCTGGGTGTCTGAAAACCCACATGAGATTGCTGAATCACCACTACACCCATAAAAGTGGGTGTGTGGTGCACCATTTCTGGTTTGTGAATCACTGGACCGATCTTCTTCGACACAACCGTGGACAGCACCTTATACTGCCGTATTTTTTACGATTTCCTGCAGTAGCTGCATGATGTGGAACACAGGGTTATTTTCAGCAGGATTCAGCGACGTGCCACACGTCCAATATGTCCATGGAACTGATTGAGAGCTTCTTCCCTGATCGCATCATCTCTAAAAATATGTGGCCCCCAAAATCCCCCGACCAAAACAGCCCGTTTTTTTTTTTCTCGGGTTTACTGAAGGACAGGGTGCATGCAAACCAACCGCATACGTTACAGGATTTAAAGGACAACACTTTGGCTGAAATCAGGAACATCACTGAAGAAACACTGCAGCGAGTCCAGCGAATATGCAAACGCGGGTGGAGGCGTGCCTACTTGAAAATGGCGGACACTTTCAACACCTGCTCTGATCACGGCACACAATCCAAGATAAGATATGTGTAAATTACTTTAATATCTGTATGGTATATTTTATATTACAGCTCATTTCGTCGGGCCGGTTCTATATGAATCACCCTGTATTATATAGACCGCCTCAGTTTATATTTTGTTGTTAGTTATTTTGTGTCTTGTTAACTTTGTAATTGGCCTCTGAGCCCTTAAGTTTCCATGTAAATAAACAAGAATTGAATTGAATTATTATAGAAACATTTGAAGGAGAACAGGTATGGTCAGTTCTTCCCAGGACATGTAATTTTATCCGTTTGTATGCAGCCAGTTTAAAAAAAAAACTGTTGCAGTCATCTGGTTTGGTTTTGTTCCTTTTTACCCAAGTACAGTTGTGGTATGTCTGTGTTAGAACTGGGTTTGTTTTATAAGATTTCAGTAAAGTTTGCATTCATCATTTCTGGTAGTTTTAGAAATCATTCTTTCATAATGTACTTCTTATTGCAGGCGGCTTGCCACGGAGAAGTTGAATGTGAATGCATTATTGACAAAACATGCCCGGGCATCTTCTGTTAGTGGTGTAAGATATTACAGTGCCAAACATGCAAAGTAACACCAGTGTTTGTGCTTTCTAGAATGTGTAAAGTTGTAGTTTTGGTAGAAAGACTGCATGTCTAGGTGTATCATATTAAAGGAAGCCATGTAATATTGATAACTGAAAGAGTAATTGCTTTGAAGTTTTCCCTGATGATCAGTTATGTGAATAATGGAATTGAAACTTCATCTGTATTGACTAAGTTGAGATGATTTCATTGCATTTAGTCACCATGAAAGCTTAAAGTCTTAAGTATAAGTATCTTAATATTATTTTACTTTAGTGAGTAGGTCAGCTTATTCCAGCTACTTATCTCTTTCCTGTTGGGCTTATGATTTCATATTATCACCTGTCCGGGGTTCTGTAACAGTGGATTATGGATCTGGGGAAGTGGTTTATTGGAGAATTAAGCCAGGCAGAACTACAGACAATTATCACACACGATAATCATAACTCTTTAACTACAAACAATGATACTCTCTAATGTTCCCTGTAACTATGCCACACGAAGACATCTGTTGGTTCTCCTCTTGTTTCTGTTCTGATCTTGTCTCTCTTATCTCTGCTCTGGTCTGATCTGATCTAGTTATATCTGGTATAATCTCCCTGAGGTAGGTTCTTGGCTTACCAGATAGGAGACACTGCCCCAAAGAGTTGTTTCGCGTTTTACAATGCAACGGTCTCCAGCATATTGGTTGCCTCGACAAATTAACTTGTTCTGGTTTTTCACTTACGTCTTAACATCTCTTTTATATATACATTGTCGCTTCAACCTATTTCATTGTCACCCAAACAACTCTACTGAACTGTGGATATCTAGCCATTGCCTAACAGTGGGCGCCCGCTTGGACTCAAATATTCTGGCATTTAGGTGGCATGCCACAATATAATTAAAATTTGCTCATCTTTTATGAATCCTATAATCTTTCATTCTCTGTAAATGTATCCTCTTTCTCTTGTAGTCTTCAATATTTTCCTTTCTTGGGGGCTGATATGCAAAGAGTAAGAAATGTTTACCATGTTAGTTCATGTAAAAGTAAAATTTCAGCATTACGCATCCACTGCTGTTGTTTGGTTATAAAGATTTCTGCCTGGTGTATGAAGATACAGCTGGGTAACCATGCCTTCCATCTGCACTGGCGAACTGAGCTTTCTTCTGTTTATACACTAGTAGCCTGTCAGAATCTAAAGTTGGCTAGCAGTCTGATGAATATACAACTGAAAGTAGTTTCAGTCTCAGCAAGTGATTAATTTAGTTCTGTACCTTGGGAAAGTTTCCATATATTCAAAATAACAAACATCTCTCTATAAATAATTTTTACTGTTGTTCTTAGTTCAGGAATTGATAAAGGAAGGACATAATGATTGAGGGAAAGTGGGCTGTACTCTAATAATGCTCTGATTTGTATTTGGAAGATACTTGGTTCTACTTTTGGCTTGGTTCAGAATGTGCCACTAGAAATGGCCAGTAAAGTTAGGAGGAACTGGAAAAGGATAAGAAATATCAATTTCAGTCAAAGCTGAAAATAATTTACTGGGGGAAATGACACAGTACAGAGAGAAAAGAAACCCGTATGCATAAACTGTTAAGATTCTATTAAGAAGGCTGAGGTAGGAATAGATACAGGTATCCTTGACAACACAAAGTTTTCATTAATGCAATTTCCTGTTAACTTATTTTAATTTCAAATTTTTGATGAAGAGCAAAAATTAATGAAAATGTTTGTCAAAAACAAAAAGTATTTATAAATATCAGATATTAATTACATTAAAGTGAATTAAATTACACATTTTTCAATTAAAATGAAATGGTACTACCAAAACTCTGAGTTACACAACCACAGTCAGAAACACAACTATCATGTAAGTTGGGAGATACCTGAATGTGCAATTCATATTTGGACCTAACACAAGAAGTAAAAGGAGGCTGGAGAAGACTGCATAATGAGAAGCTTCATAATTTGTACTCTTCATGATATAATATTAAGGCAATAAAATTGTGGGTAAAGAAGAAAAAAAATTATTAGGATAATCTGAGGGTGAGAGACCAATTGGGAAGACAGTATTAAGATATTAATAGCTCAGCTGAGATGCTGAGGGTCTTCATCATTCCTGAAATCTAACAACATTTAATGCCCTTTCTTGACTCCACCATATGTACATGACTGGATGGATGGATGAATGCAAGATTGAATAAATAGATGTAAGGTCAAAATGTACATTTTATTGTGTGATCTTTTTGGGACAATGCGAATTATATTTTCATTTTATAAATTTTGGACTTCATTCCCATTACCAAACTATACGAGTACTACTCTGTCCAAAAAGTATCCGACCTTGGGCCGGGAAAAAAGTTCTGTATCTGGGTGGTTACAATACCTAATCCCCTTCAAGGTAGGCGCCTTGTGACTCCACACACTTAGCCCAGCGGTCCTTCCATCGCTGGAAACAATTCTGGAAGGCTTCTTTTGGAATGGTGTGCAGCTGCACCATTGCATTCTGTATGATGTCCTTGCAGCTGTCAAAACGGCAGCCTTTTATTGGTGTCTTCAATCTTGGGAACAGCCAGAAATCCCAAGGAGCCATGTCAGGAGAGCAGGGAGCCTGGCGAACCTGCGGAATGCCGTGCTTGGCCAGGAAACCTTGGATCAGGTGCGATGAATGAGCTGGGGCATTGTCATGATGCAGCTGCCAGTTGCGTGCGTCCCACAGCTCCGGTCTCTTGCGCCGAACTGCATCACGAAGATGGTGGAGGACATCTTGGTAGTACTCCTTATTGACGGTCTGGCCTAGTGGTGCATACTCATGATGCACAACACCCCGGTAATTGAAAAAAAAAACAGTCAGGATCACCTTCACATTGCTCTGAACCTGTCGTGCTGTTTTGGGCCTCGGGGATGTTGGATGCTTTCATTGTGACGCCTGGACCTTGGTTTCTGGGTCATATCCATACAACCACGACTCGTCACCAGTGATCACGGTCTTCAGGAACTCAGGATGCGCACTCCAGCATGTCCTGCATGACCTCAAGGCGGAGTTGTTGCTGCTCTGGCAAAAGCAGCTTGGGCATAAATTTTGCCGCCACTCTTTGCATGCCCAAATCCTCAGTTAAAATTGTGTTTGTCGAACCTCTGCTGATCCCAACCTCATCAGCAACTTCACGGATGGCCAAGCGACGGTCCTCCATGATCAGTGTCCGCACTTTTTCAACGAAATCAGCATTTTGGCTCATTGACAGTCTCCCAGAACACTGCTCACTGTCAACCAACATAAGCGGTTGAAGCACTCTTTAATTTGATTGACCCCCATTGAATCATCGCCGAAAGCCTGCTGAATTTTGCAGATTGTTTTTTGCTTGGGTATCCCCAAGTTTCTGACAAAACTTAATGCAGTATCGCTGCTCCAAGCGTTCTGTCATCTTGAGCAAAACGAGAATGCGACAAACACGTTACACCACTTCGGTATCTGGCAGCCACAGACACATCTGGCAGTGTTGCAAGTCAGGAAAAAATCATGCATGTGCATGAAAGTCCTTTCTACCACTATGCTCAGTTTCCCCACCCCTCTGGCCATAACTTACAGCGGAAAAAAATAAAGTTGGATACTTTTTGGACATACGGTATTTCAAGATTATTTTGTGCTATATCTATTTTGAAGCTTTGTATTTAAGTAGACATCAGGAATTACTGGAGAAAGACAATGTTGAAACCATGTGATAAAAATGAAATTAAAGTTAAAGAATAGTTTAAGCAAGCAATTAGACTGAAGACTAGAAAAAAATGCAGGACTGGACCATCTTAGTCATGCACTGCTTTTGCATTCTCTTTAAATACAAATCATACAATATAACTGTATGTGCAGTATAGCTGATGTAAATGGTAATTGTTGGTATATAGCAGTTGTGTATTACATTGCTACAGATACTGTATGTCTTGATTGTGTTGTGCTCTTCAGACCACGTTCAGAGGAATGTAAATCAAATTTTAATATGTTCCTGTCTTTAAATTTGAGCTGGGCATCACTCTTTTTCATCATTAGGATCACAGCCTATAATTATAATGGCCTGTATTTCCAAACTCTGTTCCACAAGACTCTGAAGTGCCATGAGATATTCCATGGGGTTTTATAGATTTGTGATTATGGACCTGGCTCCAGTGCTTACCCAGTCTCCTATCCAAGGGATAACAGAAGAAAAACAGCTGGGATAACTTGTATGAAAATAAATTCTAGAAGCAGAATTTCCTTATATAGGATGTAATGATTATATCCCAACAATTCAACATATTCCTACATTCTGGATGCCATATCATAATGAAACAGACATTTACTCAACATTTCCTTCACCTCAAATATGTTAGCTCAACTAGGTAGATGGGATATAGAGTTTATTGACTTATTTGTATATATATTCCATGATTTTTCTCTCATGTGGAGCCTTGGTTATTGCAGGGCCAGCATCTCTTTCGGTACATTCACTTTAAAGAAGTATTCTCCGATATCCTTAACCAAGAACCCATTATTTCAAATAAGAATGTCGTTTTGTGCTGCAGTGAATTGTAGTGTGTGTGTGAATTAGCAATAGCACTGTAGTTACTTGTAGTTACAATCTGTACGTGTTCAGTAAATCCAGTTACCAGTCCAAACTCTTTCTATAGCCACTCCATACATGTGACAGTATATGCCCCCCTCCCCTGAATTTTCTTTGTACTCTATCAGCATATCCAATCATGGAAGTCTGCGATCCCTGGTTGAATATTGTTACACCTTATTTTAATCCATTCATATATTTTATTTTTATTGCTTGTGGGGTGGGACTAAGTCCCTTGTACTGTGGCCACTTCTGGCCTATTGTACCAGTCCCAGATGATAGGTGAGGGTGATTCTGGTGCAATTGGTGGAATGAAGATTGGCAGGGGAAACTGAAGTACTCCGAGAAAACCTGCCCCAGCGCCACTTTGTCCACCACAAATCCCACTTGACCAAACCCGGGCCGCCGCAATGGGAAGCCAGTGACTAATCGCTTGAGCTATGGCATGGTCCAATCCATTCATATATCCTACTCCCCCATCAGTAGATGGAATGCTAACACTGTCTATAATCAGGGCCAGGATTTTGATGACCTAAAAATGTAACATATCATGGAATAACTACTAATTAATTTAAAATATATTTTCAGTCTTTATTAACACTGTGAACTCATCATTACTCTTTTAAGTTCACTGTGGGAAATCAAGCAGTATATGATTGAATTTGAAGCTAATGTTTTAATAGAACTTTTTCTATTGTGTGGGAACACTTATCAAATGTAATATGGTATATTCCAGTATTTAAGTCTTACCTCTTTCAGAGTTGCAATAGATGACAGTCAACTTGCGGAGATTCACAAAGGTGAGCAAACACATTCTTGTACTTGGAGAAACACCTTTCCACATCTGCAGACACAGTGGGAGCGTACTTGAAGTGTACCAAATCACTAGCAGTAAGTTTTTCTTCAATAACTGCTGCAGGACTCTCCTGTCAGAATTCAAGAAATGTTGCCTAATGCTTCATAACTTGAGTTTTTATCTGGAATGTTTTTCATTTTTCTTGACACCATTTTACCAATGTCCCCTGATACTTTCTCCACACCATTGGCAATTTTTTTCACAGAGCAAGTAAATCTTTTAGCATTACTCCTTTCTCCTGCAAGCATTTGATTCCTACTGCCAAGGAACTGAAATTTGCCTTTATGAAGGCCAGCTGTCCCATTCTGCTGCATGAGAACTGTTCCTGAGAAGCTTCAGTTGCCCTCGCATCTTCTGTCTTCATTGAATCTACAATGTTTTTCATTATCTGAAAATGACTGGAATAGTAAATTGTAGCATCAATCCATGTTCCCCGCCTTGTGGTGACGAGTTCCAGGGGCAGTAGAACACCAAGAGCCATAGACTTAAACTGCATATTATGAGCTGGAGCCTTGACAAAAATCTTCATCCTTCACACGAGCACATCTACTTCAGTAGATTTTGATCTCATTTCCTCTGTCACTCTATGCAGTGCATGAGCTAGGCAGGTAATTAGCACCAGTTTAGTATAAAACAACTTTATTGACCTGCCTGCTTTTAAAATATATTGTGACATATCGGTCACATAAAGCAAGATGTCATATAAACTCTGGCCACAGTAGAAACATTGACCTGCTGAAGAGTTTACAAACTGTGGAATGATTAACGGATTCTAGAATCTCATTCATGAGCAGAAACACTTCACCTGGTCCGTAAATTTCCAAGGTTCCAATGATGACGTTTGCCATATAGTGAGCATCCATATTGCAGGTCTCATCAATGGAAATGAAAATCTTCATCCCATGCACTTTATTCCTAATCATTTCAAGGATACTGTTGTAGCACTTGGAAAGGTAGTTTTTTGAGGATGGATTCATCTGGGATAGAATGATCACCATTCACTTCCAGAAAATTTCAGTTTTTCATTGTTCAGAGCCCAAAACAGAATATTTGCGGGCACCAGAGCATCACACAGATTTATGAAAAAATCCAATGACTTATTTCCACCTCCAGATGAACACTGTTGCAGTAACAATTGCACAGATTTCTTTTTGTTGCAGTTTGCACTGCTTGTATATGCTTGTCATGGCTGATATATTGTTGTACCATGAATCTTTTTTCTGCTACTACTTTTGTGTCACACATCTTACTGTATAAAGTGTCACCACTGCTTGAAAAAATATAATCTCCAAACTCAACTACAGTCTGCTTTAAACAACAGAATAGGCTTTGCATTTGGCATCATGAATCTCTCTAGTGCAACACAAAACTGAACTTTTCACACCGAGGACCTTTCATGAACTGTATCTTTGTCTGTACAGTCAAAGGCGAGAAACTGAAGACAGAAAGGAGTTTTGTTGGACAATAATATGTCATATGAAGCAAATTGCTTTGCAGAGCACTTGAAAAGAGACACAGTGTGAGTGACTGCTGTCTTACCCTGCTGCAAGCTTAAAATGTTTTACATGTGTTGTCAGGACTTTCTACAAAACGGAAAGGATGGGACAGGGTTACAATATATTATTGTATACTGTGGTACCAGGTACTTGAGGTGCAGATGGAGGCTGCCTTTATATAGATCACTTTACTTCCATATTATTCACATTTAAAAAAATATATTAAGAAAAATTCCTTGAAAGTCCAAAAAGTACTGAGAAATTACCCCAAAACTGAAAAAAAAATTCCTAAAACTTAAAAAATGATGAAAAATGACCAAAAAATTAAATATAAAATTTACATTTCTGTAACCAGCAGCTCATCTCCAAGATTTATACATTTAAGAACATCGCACAGGATAAAAGAAAGAAAAAAAGATGTCATCAAAATCTGGGCCCTGTTTATATTATACTGAGGCTGTGAAAAGTAGTCACTTCAATCAATCCCTCTTGAACTGCTTTGCTTCCCACTCCAGTTACTTTCCTGTACTCGTCTAGCCATTCTGGTCACATGAATGTTGGTAGTGACAAGAACTTTATATTTGCTTACAAGGCCAAAAAGGAGCTGCATAAGAATACAACAGTAAATACCATCACCATCCTGGAAATTCTTTGTGGCATGGGTACAAAAAGGAACAAACTCAACTTTCAGTTCATGTTTATCATAGACAAAGAAAGTAACATCAAAAACCCCAACTTCACAAACAATCTATGCACTTGATGACACTGAAGCATACGGAGCACAAACACAGAAGTAGGAAGTGGTGTTACTGGTGCATGGTGTGAGATCGCTGGAGTTCTGCCCCAGCTGAATGGCGTGTGGTAGCGTGTGCCATCATGGACTCAACACGGCTGGCTGTCTCACGAAATGCATCCGACAGTTCTGGCAGATCTGGCAGATCCAATGTGATGTGTGCAGACAGACGTTTGTACACAGAGCCAGATTCCTTCTTGTTCCTGTAGGCACAAATCTCTGTGAAGTGCACATTGACTCAGTGCTGTGTGGTCAAGTGATAGATCAAATGGATGAATGAACTGATAAGACTGACTTATCAGTGAATTATTTCACAGACTATTTAACACTTATGCTTCAATGGTAAAAACTATTTTATACTGAATGAGATGGGAATGATTATGAATAATGCATCCAAAGTATAAAATTATAACTCAAATGGAATTAATATAATGAGTAAGTTTTAGCTAAACAATTATCCAATTAACTTTCCAAAGAGCCCTCATATAAAAAGTCGGCAAAGAATCAAAATCTTCACCACTACACATATCAAATGTACCTTTGAAGGATATAACTCATCACAGTTTCATCTGTTATAACTGAAAGTCTGGATCTGGCTAGGCAAGAAAGCTTTACTTACAGTGACGGTCAGGGGGACACCAGCTAGTAGTATTTGCCTCACATCACTCATGTCAATATCTACTGCAAGTGCTGCTATAAAAGTGGCCTTTTTTTTTATAACTTCTCTTACATCATTGCAGTTCAGCGTTTATATGTGAAGTCTGGTGACAGAGGATACTTCACTAGGACCATGTAGTGACTGCTTACCGTACAATACTACCAACTTAACAAACAGCAGGAAGCAGCAATTACCTGGCATCTCACAGCATTAGTTGGGGAGCCTACACAGACAAGACATGCAACATCAATAACATGCTCTATGGTCATGCACATGCTAATCCAAGTGGCACCTGGACTAGCACACAACAGAACAAAATGTAATTCTAGCAAACAACAGATATCAGCAAGCTACGTAAGAGGAAAAAAAGATTTCTAGGGCAAAAACTATATTACATTACTGTGAAGGAAAGAGACAAACACGACTAACAGAAGATCTAGAACACACGTCAGTTAACACATTTCCACCTTGTCCTGCTGTCACTTGTAATACCACCAGTACCTGATGGAGACAGCTTGAAATTTAACATTTTTACTCCATAGCTGATTGCCTACTTCTTGTACACATGAAATCTTCAGGTTTTACATGCACGTTTTCAGTTTCACTGTATAAAATTTCTATTGTGCACTACTGGAGTTGTACTTTATGCTTTGTGCCATAAAATTTGAAATACAATCTGAATATATGTGATTAAAGTGTTATTAGGTTCTCCTTTAGAATCATATTGTTAAGCTCTGTGAGTCTGTCCTCATTACTGGTATACAGTTGCCATGTTTTCTCTGAATACGTATCACCAGCAGTCTGACTATACTGAAATATCGCTGATTGACTGATTTTTCATTCACTTACAGTGTTCTGTTCACTGCAGTGCTTATGTAGTGGCAACAGGTTATTAGAGAACAATGTAATGAAAAAAAAAAGTGGTCAAGAAAGCAGTCTTCGGTTATTTTAAATTCTTATTTCAGTATTTGCCTGGTATGGCTAAGGAAAATCTTCAGAAGTTAAGTCAGGATAGCCATTTCTGGTCCTAGTCTTTTTAACATGAGATGCTCTGAATGTGTAGCTTAAGTGGTCAGATGGGTGGAAATCTGAACTGATACTATCATGTAGCATGTGTGACTACAAACGGGGTTTGGAATGGTGAATATATTTATTGACCACTTACACGTAATAACTACAACTAACTATAACACTTTTGCCATTTCCACACTTATAGTTCACTACAGCAAACAGTTGTGTTCTCAGTCTGTTACTAGATGTTTCCTGGTAATGGCTCAAACAATGGCTATTCCTCTTTATCCAGCTCAATTCCTGTCTTCACAGACTCCTGTACAGAACTGACTCTCAACTACTAAGCTCCAAACCTCTCAATTATAACATCTTGGTGTGGACCATACAGAAAACAGGTATATGCTGTGGGCGTTACTTAGTGACGGCCACTATTTACAGAGTCAGTGCTCAGCAATGTATCTATATGCCACATTGGTCTGTCCTGAAGGCTATTCGTCCTAAACAGCCTACAGGCGTACTGTCATTTCTTCTTTTCTGAGGGCTGGGCTTGTGACCTCTGTGATCAGTCTCACCCTCCTCCCTGTAGCTCACTTCTCACAGTAATTACTCTCCAGTTGCTCTTTCCTTAAGGCTGCTCGTCCCAAGTGGTTCCCTCATAGGGTGCCAGTCAGTCCTGGTGTACTACCAACCTTTTCCACATTATGACACACAACAGGATGCAAACAATATAGATCCTCCTTTTGGTTCATGTGGACAAACTATCTAGGGTGGCTGATGCTCCTATATCTTCAGCTCTTATTCTGTGTACAGTCTTCTTTCGTCCATAGGGGGCCAACCCCTTCACACTATCCTGACATTCACTTTCCAAATTCTGACTGAAGGTTCAACTCCTCACTTCACAATCTCCAGCATGAACCTTCCTGAAGATCCTGCCACATGTCCTCTCACTTCCAAGATGTAGCTGCTCCTTTAAGCCTTGGTTCCTTATTCCACTGATGCCTTCCAGTTTCACTCAATGTCTCTTCCCAAATGTCCGTCCTTTCTGGGTTCTTGGCACAGCCTTGTCCTTGCCTTGCCTCTGACAACCATGTCCCTTATGCCATCCAGAAATGGCATGGCGGGTCAACTGTCCTCTGGCAGTGACCAACTTCAGGTACCCACCATTGCCCTAGGTCCATTCCTTCAGCTGACTGTGGCACTTTATGACTAGATTCTTGTAGTTCTTGGCTGGCTCTCATTTCCCTTAAATTTGCACCTGTTTTTGCTTTGTTGGTTCTTACTTCAGCCTTTATTTTGGCCAGGAAGCATGCCATAATTTGTTATATCTCCATAGTATGGCAATATACCTTCTTATGGCAGTCTCCAATCCATCCACTTCTGACACTAGTTGTCATGTAGTATAACTACAGATGGCGTTTGGACTGGGGAATACATTTATTGAATACTTACAGGTCCTAACTACAAATAACTATAACACTATCATTATTTCCACATTTTACAGTTCACTGCAGCATGCAGTCTATTGTTCTCAGTTCTGTTACTAGATGTTTCCTGGTAATGGCTCCAACAATGGCTATTCCTCTGCCTCTGGCTCAAGTCTTCTGTTCACAGACTTCCATACAGAACTGACTCTCAGCTACTAAGCTCCAAACCTCCCAGTTATAACATCTTGGCACATACCACAGACCACTGTTTTTTGCAGTTCTTCTACTGTTGCATGAATGTATGTTGTGGATGTAATGACTGGTGTTTACAGTCACTGCTTAGCAATGGGTCTATACGCCACAATATGATGTGCAACTGCAATATTTTAAGCCAGCACAAGCAATGTACTTTATTTCTTGGAATATTAGCACTTCCTTTTGATAAATCATGTACAGATTTAGTATCAAAAACGTGAGGTTAACTTGTGCTTCAGAATTAGTAACAAAACCAACTCTTCAAAGTCTTGTGCGCCAGTATTATGTAGAGGCTTTTCCATGATGCTAGCAGTTAGCAGATAAACTGACAATTTGGAAATAACACCTCATTTTATATAATCCAAAATTCCAATTATATGTCACTAATTCAGAGCTGTACCACTGTATCTTCTACATAAAGTGGACCCAGATAAAATGCACCAAAATCATACTTTTCTAGTAATATCAAATTAGAATATTAACCAACTGTCCACAGAAATCACAGATCATTGTGGTTCATACACTAACCACGAAGTCCAGGTTAAAGAGTCTTACATTTGCGATTATGAAAGAAACTGTGAATATGAAGTTAATGAAAAAATAAAATTAAATACTATTTGTCAATTTGAATGCATAAGGGATGTGTTCAGCCCAAAGCTTCTCTTTCTTTTTGTTGAATGTTGGGGGGGGGGCCTAGAGATCTAAAATAAATCAGATAGAGTATGTATCATTTTAACACCAACCCCATTATATGGTTGGTTAAGTTTATAGCATCCCATTGCCAAACCAGCCAAGTGGTGGACTGTTACCACAGTACATAATTATAATTTTTCCATACAGATGTCATTCATGTGCACAGAAATGTTTTTAAGTGTTGCAATGAGCAGTGTCTGTTCACTGATTTCATTTGTTCTGTTCCAGTTGTTTCAGATTCAGTAAACTCAAAATCAGGGTTTTGTGGAAAATGTTGGCCCAGCAGGTAAAATACCACTACAGGCCATGGTGGTAAATGTGTTAAGGGTCTGAAGATGGTGCACAGGATGGAGAGTCCACTCTTTTAACAGTTGACACAGGACTAATACTTCTCACCTATCACCAGGCTTTCTGCTAATTTGTATTACTTTTACATTTAGCACCATTTCATTTCTGACTCAGATACAATGGGAGAATCACAAACAAACCTATGAACCAGTGGCCACCACATCTGCACCAGTACACTCTAGTATATGCAATACATACCTGCGAGCCTCCTCATACTTGATCTGCTGTCGTAGGAACACTGCATTCTTCAGCAGCTCCTGTATGTTGGCAAGGTTCTCCTCTGCCCCCTCCATTGACTTCACTGCTCTGAAAAATGCCAAGAAGCTCTGAGGAGAACTTATGATGCATACTTTTCCTCAGAAGCTTCAATGGTAAAGCACCCAATTGCACAACATGGAAGTGGAATTTTGGATAGTCTTCTGGGTTATGATACTATGATTTCTGGCAAGAGTAAAAGCATTTTAGATGGACATATTACTTTAAGACACCACTATGTCAAAATTACCAACAATCTCCATTCCAAATTTCACAGCTATTATTCTCACCTTAAAAGTAGCTGCAGAAATATGCTAGTATAGCCGACTGTATGACAATAACAATTACAGGTGTGGGGTGATTATGAACATCTGTTAATTGTATCAAATCTATCGGGTTGATATATGATTGAAACAGGCACAATACCATAACACCAAGAAGTTTAAACTGCAACTGAGATGATAATGATGTTTACACCAGCTAGACCATATAGTATCATATGAATTGATGATAGATGAATGATAATTTGGAGAACATTTTGAAGAAAGTGGCCATCACCTAAAAGACGCAATTTCCTGGCATTTGTGTCAAGGGTCTGAGGAAAATGAAGTAAAATCTTGGGATGGCCAATATTTCTGAGATTCAAATCCAACACCTCCCAAATATGAATTAAATTTGTTAGGCAACTGGAAAAGGATAAGATCAGTAGTGACCTATTTTAAGATACCTGCTTGCGAACGGGATACCGCCCATATACAAGTCTAGAGCTTACATGGCACACTCTGCTATGACGAGTAACGGCTTACCCAACAGCATATTCAACATCATAGCAACGTCCTTGCAACTCATGATGCAGTTTGGTGACCTCCACCCTATTTTCCACCATGGGCGGCAGTGCCTTACGTACATGCTCTTGCAAACGATAAAATGCGAGGGACGGCTCGTTCGCCACAATGTGCATGTTCTCTGAAATCCTTTCTGTTGCTATAAATGAAAAGTAACACGGCTTCTACAACAAAACTCTGGTTACACAAATGTGAGGTACAATTAACAAACAGATAAATCTATGCTTGACACAGCTTCATACCCTTTTTAACTTTAGTTTCCAACTCTGGGTCTGACGGCAAAGGCACAGACATGACAGTACGTTAAATCACTGACGACGTCAATCATACACGATACCTAACCAACCAACTAATCATTATCTTAAAATACACATCAATGGCTAAGTTCTGTCAAGGCTTATGATTATCACACATCTACTCCCTTTCCTGCATCAAACCGTAATCCTATTTTGTATTGCCGGCGCTGCACAGATCCAAACATAACCTAGAAATACAATCGTCGACCACCATCGGAACTTTAGGGCGAATAGGGCGGTATAGGGCATAACTAGGATAACTAGTGAGCAGATGCTTTGTGATGGTTTGTGATTGGTGGAGGATTTCCTCAATGTTGGAGACTAGCGACATCTTTCATGAATAATTGAAATGAGGCAAGTACTGCAGACTAGACCAGTGTTTCCCAACCTTTTTGATGCCGCGGACCCCCTGTACCGAATGTTAATTCACCGCGGCCCTCATAAAACCCAAAATGGAAATTTTTAAATTTTACGAGTACATATCATAAAAATGAAGCAGTAACTTAAAATTTTACAACACTAAATGTGTCATTTTTGACAATAAAATACTGTTATAAATGGAGATATTCGGAAGATTAGGAACATATCAATTAGGCGTAATATTATGAATTTAACACTCACCCAAAGTGATGGCTGGTGCTGTTTTTCAGACGTCAACTTTCGAATGTCAGGATCAAAACTGGATAATTTCAGACGTAGATCTGGCTCCACGTTGAGTCTGTTCCTATATCTGTTTTTCATGTGTACAAGATGAGAAAATGTTGTCTCGCACAGATATGTAGTGGGAAATGTCAACAGATGTCTTACAGCCCTTTTGGAAATTTCAGGGTAAACAGACCTAGCTTGGAACCAAAACTCTAGTAACGGTAACGAAGGAAACAGCAATTTGAACGTCGAATCACAGGACAGCTCGATAAGTTGCTCTTCCTCGGCAGAAGGAAGTTCAAATTCAGAGTCTACAAAGGGATTTTTCATCCAGTCGTTATTTTCAAGACCAAACGGAAAATACAGACGTAGTTGAGACGCCAATGACCTCATATGTTCAATCATACTTTCAGCAACATCACTAGAAAGGGGTTGTTCACTGGAATCAATGAAATCACTCAGCATGTGAAAGGAATCGTATTTTCCTTTCTCGATACGGCTGCACCACAAATTTAACTTCTTGATTGTTGCCTCTATCTTGTCTTGCACAGAAAACACGGTGACAGATGTACCTTGAAGGCTCGAGTTAAGAGTATTCAAGATGTTAAAAATGTCCGCCAAGTAAGCAAGAGAGGAGAGCCATGCGAAATCATTTAAATAGTGTGTTAACTGAAATTTAGAGTTTATGAGGAACAACCTTACTTCGTCTCGAAGCTCAAGCAACCGCGTCAAAACCTTACCCCGGGACAGCCATCGGATTTCTGAGTGCAATAATAAGTGTTCGTGATCACTTCCCATTTCATTACAAAGCGCAGAAAATAATCGGCTGTTAAGAGGACGGGCTTTAATAAAATTGACAATTTTTACTGCCTCGTCTAGAACGATTTTCATTTTGGAGGGCATACGGCGTGCAGCTAATACTTCGCGGTGTATGCAACAATGTGTCCATTTAACAAGAGGTGCGACTTTCTGGATACGTGCGACCAAACCATTATGTATTCCCGACATTGCCTGAGCACCATCTGTGCTGATACCTACACATTTTTCCCATTGAAGTGTATTTGTAGTTATGAAGTCATTGACAACTTTGAAAAGGGCTTCAGCAGTTGTATTAAGAGGTAACGATTCACAGAACAAAAAATCTTCACAAACTTTATTTTCGTGTTCATATCGCACCAAAGCTACCAAATTAGCATTATTTGAAATATCGTGGCTTTCATCCAACTGCAACGCAAAATATTCACTATGACGTAACCGTTCTAGCAAAATATCTTTCACATTTTGAGCCATCTCGTCGATTCTTCTTTTCACAGTATTGTCAGATAACGATATTAGAGACACCTCGTTGGCATGTTTTTCACTAAACAAGTTCTTTGTTATCGTTTTTGTAGCAGGCAAAATTAAATCTTCCCCGATTGTATGGCGTTGTCCATTTCTAGCGATCAGAAGGGCGACTTCGTAAGAGGCAAGAACAGCCTTTTCATTTTTCGTTCCACATACAATGTCCTTAACTAAATTCTGTGAACCACAAAGTTGCAGTTTCTTATTTTGAAAATATTCTATTGGCTTATTAACTAATTCGCCATGTTTCATTTCAAGGTGGCGTCTCAACTTCGACGGCTTCATAGATTCATTCGATAACACTTCGCAACAAAGAACACACTGTGGTCTGTCTTCGCCGTCTTTATTCAGAACGGAAAATCCCATTTGCAAATAAGATGGACAATATTTGCGTGATTTTTTGAGGGAAGGAACTTTATCTGCCCTGGTACTATTTTCGACAACACTAGATCCACTCGGATTATCGTCTGTCTTACGTTTCAATGATCCACACTTTAACCACCGATCCATATCTAAATAAGATCGTGAACAAACTGAAAATCAGAAGTTTCGTTGTGAACTCAATTATTTGAACAAAAGCAGAAAAACTGAATATTACACCGAGAAAAACACACTTGTATAATATTATAAAAATTCACTGCACAAAAACTAAAGAAACACGGGTTGTTCGCTCTGCCACTGAAATGAATAAGAAACGTGGTCAATGGTCCCAGGTTTATTCCCAACCAAAGAGGGATGGATTTGGTGGGGGAGGAGGGGAGAATGGTCGGACAGCAGGTACTAGGACAGCAGTCCACCCTGAAACACGGGTCTGAGATGCAATGGGCCGACCAAAAGAAAATGTCCTTGGAAAAAGCTACACAAATCGTTGGTTATTCACCTCTGCTTTACAAAGGGAAGAAGTAACGGTACCAACAGTCCCGTTAAATTTTACTTCAACCATGGGCCTCAAGAGCCAGAGATATACATTGCAAATATCCCAGGTGTGAGGAACATGATAAGATAAAGTTTAATGAAAATAAACTATCCCGCGGACCCCTTTTGAATTACTCGCGGACCCCCAGGGGTCCGCGGACCACAGGTTGGGAAACACTGGACTAGACCGAACTAGACGGAAGTAGACGCTGTAGAACCTGTACACCGCAGTAGACTGCTGTAGACTGATTTCGATGTCTTTAGTGCATGTTGCTGATGGTGTTAAAAGAGTTCCATGCAGAAGTCATTGGCATATATCGCTGTTAATCGGCATAATTGTGTCACCCAGCCGATGAGTAGGTGTGAGTAGGAATGATTCTTATAAATGGTAGTCCTGTAACAAGTATTAGGAAGTATGCAAGAGCAAAGCACGTTGATGAGTTTTTCAAAAGAATAAGTGGATCTATGTCACACTTTCCCATACGCCTTCATGGCGTGACGTTTAATTAAGCACAGGCTCCAGAGGCAACTCTACTCGCTTCCCTTGATTGGTCCCCTTTTAAATTAAGAACGCTGTGGCGTATAAACTACACAGCGGATTCCAAGCAAAACATAGAGCTTTTATTGAAGTGAAAAGAAAAATATATTCCTTATATTTCTCTAGTTTTGTCGGTCTACTGTACATGCCAGAGAATTTGCCACTGGCTTACATAAGACTTAGACCTTAAGGCGGCCCATACACGTACAAGTCTGCCTCGCGACGAGGATTAATTTCACCACACACGCATGAGCGTGGCGACCCACACACGGACCAGTTTGGCTCATTGGAACCCGAGCCGAGTCGGACTCGCGAGCCAGACTCGTACGTGTATGGGCCCCCTAATAGTTTCTTGTTTGGTCATCGTCGAACCATTTGTCTTGTGGTGCTAGAAAAGGATTCAGCATTTTCCTGCCTTTAGTTTGGAATTTAGCCTCATTCCATCTTATTGTTTTGCTCTCTATACATTTTGAACACTTTCCAAATTTTAGCCTCTGTCGGAACGTATTTATTATTTTTCTCGTCATTATTAATGCATTTTTCATTTTGTATCCCAGACATGCTTGGGTATTATAAAGAGAGTTCTATTTCTTGTATTGTTTCAACATTTAGTATTTGTTGAAGAAAGATGAAGTGACAGGAGGCTGGAGAAAACTGCATATTGAGGAGCTTCATAACTTGTACTCTTCTGTAAGTAATGATCAAGTCAAGGAGGATGAGGTGGGTAGGGCATGTAGCACGAATGGGGGAGAAAAGGAATGCATATAGGATATTGGTTGGAAAGCCGGAAGGAAAGAGGCCACTGGGAAGACCAAGACGTAGGTGGGTGGACAATATTAAAATGGATCTTTGAGAGATAGGATGGGATGGTATGGATTGGATTGATTTGGCTCAGGATAGAGACCAGTGGAGCTGAAGACCAGAGAATTGGCAATAACTCATCGTGGCCTTGTTTTTACTTCTCGACACAGGAAACCAGCAACAATAAAAAATTAACGTTTAGAAAAAGTGCTATTGACAACACTTCTCCTTATAAAATTCTTGATCAGACGTCTGATATTGATGTAAAGCCGGAAAATGACTGGAGGTATACCGTCGCTTTGCTGGCACTCAACGCGCAGTGAGAAAATGCACATAACGTTTGTGGACATATTGTGGCGTGCCGCCTAAAAGACAGGATACCTTAGTCAGAGTGGGCGTCCATTGTTAGGCAACGGCTCGGTATCCACTGTTCCTTATCGTCGGGGTGACAATGAAACAGGTTCATGCGACAGCGCATACATAACAGAAATAAAAACCAGAACTCGTGCAGTTCCCGCGGTAACGAATACACTAGGTCCCGATGTATAGAACACGTGAAGCGGGACGTTTGAAGGTGTCTCCTAGGCCGTCCGGCTATAGAATATAACAGACCAAACATAATAGAGGAGAACATGCCTCACATGCAGCCCTCCCATTGTTAACATCAAAATTTCGCCCTAATATAGCCCTCCCAACGTTAGCAAAAAATTTACTATAATGCACCCCTTCCAGCGTCATAAAATATATAATATTGTCGCGTATCGGGGCGTCTATCGCGACAAATAACTTCACGATGTATTTTATATAGCGAATTTTATTTCACACTCGCTCTTACAATCACCCAAATTACAGATTTACGATTACTGCTATCTGCAGTATCACAATTAGTACACTCCAAATGCCACAATACAACTGACTGGCTGACTTTACGTCTTGACTCGGCGACTGTTACTTTATAACTCTGCGGTAGCCACACTAGAACTGACTCCTAGCTGCTGTGCAGTTCCGCTTATATAGCCGTGCGC